ATAATTTTTTATTTTATTTTTTAAATCCCTCTTAACTCGAACAAATTTCACTTTTATTCTCTTTGTCCTTTGATTTCTTACTTCTGATTTGAAATCCTAACACTTTTCTTTTTACTAATACAACCTTTTCTTCTTGTCTTTTCTCTGCTTTTCTCAACCTTGTTTTCCTTGTCCTTTTCTCTTTTTTTTTACCTTCTCTTTGGGTCTATACTGTCTCTGACCTCCTGCATCATCTGGGATGTTATAGCACGCAACCCCCTTGAGAACCCTGTGCCTTATTTAACCCCACAAGGCCCAGAGGAACCATGTGAGGTCACAAGGAGCTCCAGCATGGGATACCTCTGTAAGTGAGGTCCAAGCTACTGAAAGCAGCATAGTTGGAACATACTGCCATAGAAAACTATGTAGATTCCCAAATGTGAAACACAGCTGAGCCCTACTTTAGTCCACTGCATTAAAACGCTGGATGTGTGTTTATTCAGGACTAGAAACTGAAGCAAAAAATAGAATGTACTTAACTAAATATTTATTTGGCAACAGAAAGCTAAAATGTTGAAGACTTTGTCAGTCACAATGGATGAGCAAATGAACGGTATCAAACTCAGTTCCAAAGTTCACATTCTAAATCATTTGCCAATAGTTGCCTAAGTGTGTTTCTGCTGACGCATAAGCAACGGACCTAAGACGACCATGTATCCCAGCTCTCCTCTCTCTCTCTCTCTCTCGAGTCTGAATGAATGATCATCTGGCATTAGTCCTAAAGCTTAAGCCTTGCTACATTTAGCTAGGTCCTGAGGTTTCTGGCTCTCTCCATGTACTTTCCTGGCACCTTTCTTTTCTGGGACTCATCTTCCACCTTGGTCAAAAATGTCTCATTTGAATCTCTTCAGTCTTACCTGGTCCTAACACTGTCTTACCTCTCTGTAGGTAGCCCAACTACTGCCCATCGAAACCTCACCTCCAACAGCCTGAGTGACTTCTCTGACAAACCAGAGAAGGATCAGGTATATGTTTGTGTCTCTGTGTATTATTGCATTGGGATGATATGCAAGCTATTATGCAACCTAATCACAGCTACTTAGGGTGTACAATCACTACTAGCAGCACTATGCAGGGTCATGTGTTGAGGCTGTGTGTATGCATCAGCTTGTGAGCCTCACATACTGATAGATAAGACCCCTGTCTCTCTCTCTCTCTCTCTCTCTGCTCTCTGTCTCTTCTCTGTCTCTCTCTTCTCTCTCTCTCTCTCTGCTCTATGCAACAAAAGCTCACTGTCTCTCGCCTTTTGTTGAGTTTCTGTCAACTGCACACGCAGTTTCTCTCACTGTCACTCACTGACAAATGGCCGAGTAGCCAACTATAATTTGGCAGTGTGGTTTAAATATATGTGAAGTAGATAAAAGATCACAGAACAAGTTAAACTGTAACACATTTACACAATTACACACCAGCAACAGTTAATGAAACTGTAGGTTTGTCAAAATGTTCTGGCCTTTGACATAACACCAATACTCTAGTTAATCATCACCCTGCAAGTTAGCTGTTTCTTTCTTCCGCAACTCGTGTGTGTATTTTTTTGCATGTCAGTTTAGTGTTAGACTGTAGATGCAATTTAAAATACTGTAGTAAAGTGTGTTTTAATAGGTGGCATGAAGTCAAGCTGCTGTTCAGCATATAATTCTAGGAAAGGGCGGGTACAACCTGTTCTTATGTGCTTATAGACACTATAAAAACATGACGTTCAGTCTCTACCAGCCATATTTTAATCACATTTTAATCACCACATTTATTTAAAATGTCATATGTATCATTGATCATACTTATTGTGACTGAGAAAGGAAGTAAGATTTTGTGTGTGTGATCTCCTTCTCATGCCTACATTGTTACAGTGCAGCCTGACATTCACCTTATCTTTTCCTTTTCTGCTCTCTCTGTGCTAACAGCTGAAGAATAAGTTCATGAAAAAGTTGCCCCGTGATGCAGAGGCATCAAATGTGCTGGTTGGAGAGGTAGACTTCCTGGAAACTCCCTTTGTAGCGTTTGTTCGTCTGCAGCAGGCTGTCATGCTGGGGGCTCTAACAGAGGTCCCAGTGCCCACGAGGTAGAGCACAGTCGCATCATTCAGTAAAAAATAATTGCCATCACTTAAGATGAAGTGTCAGATTTTATTGATGTCATGATATTGAAAGGTTGCTGTAACATCTCACTTTCTTGTTGTTCCTTAGATTTCTCTTTGTCCTGCTGGGCCCCAAAGGGAAAGCAAAGTCCTATCATGAAATAGGAAGAGCCATTGCCACCTTGATGTCCGATGAGGTACTTTATTACTCTGTTTACTTTCACTGTTTTTACCATTCGCTCCTCAGACTGTGCAGAGAGACTGGTCTGTTTTTTATGCAAGATGGCTATCCTCGTGTGCCATAATTTGTGTTTTACAACAACCATTAATGAGCTTTGTTTAATTAGTTTTGAACTGTAAAGCAACAGGACTTGTACAGAACACTAAATTGATCCTCACTGCTCTACAAAGACATCTCATTCTCTTTAAGCTCCTTTCGGACTAATTAAGCCCTGAGTGGTCTTGAACCTGAGGTAATGGCATCTTGAGAGTGAGATTTTGGAAGTTGCTAGCCTTAAGGATACAGATTCACATCTCTCCACTCAGTCTGAAGACAGTGAATGAATAACTAATTAACTACGTTATATAATACTGTACTGTATAAGAAATGTGCCAGAGATTAAAAAATAAAACCTTAATAAACAAGACTAGTAGAAAGCTATGGCATCAGAATTTTTAAAGTTCAATCCCCCATTTCCTAATTTCTCAGTATTTATAAGGTCCAGTTGCACTGAATTGCTGTCCACCTACACCTCCTACTTGTCCTCTTGCCAAATCTCTCAGCTCTCTGGGTATTGCTGTATTAATCATCACAGCAGTTTGCCTGCTCAGGCCTGCTGGCAATGACCAACTTATAGCTTAATTGTTAAGTTGTTGTTGGAGTTGTGGAAGACAAATTTGTTTTGGCGTCAGCAGAATGTGTGCAATAGAATAAAGGCATATAAAATTAGTTTTTTAGTCCTTTCAGCTCTGTCTACTTTGTGTCTGTGGTGTGGTAATTCTCCTGATTCAACCTGTTTGTGTTGTCAGGAATGTTAACAGACAGATCATAACGTTCTTAGCCCTGAGAGCAAATTCCCACAGGCCTCAACTCTTCCCCCATATCTCATATGTCACCATAGTGTTTTTCCAGGATTTCCTCAGGTTAAACTTTAACCTCTCAGCTCCCATGACAGCTGTGTCACAGGTTCATCAGTTAATTACTCATTATTTGTTTACCTTGTGAAGGAGTTTAGAAAATTCTTTGACGTTGTCAATATTATAGAGCTGAGGTTGGTTGCAATAATTAGATTTTGATCACATGCTACACATTGTGTTCAGTGAGCCAATAAAGTTGCACATTTTGTGCTTTTTCTCTCGAGCCCTGTATACATAATTTAGGGTGGTTATGTTTGTTTGCTGGCAGGTATTCCACGATATTGCCTATAAAGCGAAAGACAGGCAGGACCTGCTGGCTGGTATCGAGGAGTTCCTGGATGAGGTCATCGTCCTGCCACCCGGAGAATGGGACCCTGACATCAGGATAGAGCCACCAAAGTCTCTGCCCTCCTCAGACAAGAGGTCTGCTCTAATCCACAATCTATTACAAATCTCTCTGGAGTGTAATATGAACATATATTTTTGACACCATGACAAAATCCCTTTCCTACATCACCGCATTATTTTGCTTAATAGCGACTACAAATTACAATTATTAGATTATGTTACATTTTGTTAATACTGCTGTTTAGGATATATCAAATGCTATTGTAACAGTTACATACATGGAGAATAAAGTCAGAGAACGAAAACGAATTTCAGTTTTCAGCAATATTTAAATAATGTTTGCTAACATGAGCTACCGGTTCTACCAGACCAAGTAAGGCTGTAGCAGCAAAAACCCTCAGTCTATTGAATTGCATTTTATTGTTTATGAATTTCATTTATTTAATCTCTCAAAAGTTACATAAACATCTTGTTAATCTTGCTAATGTTTAAGTCTAATGTGAGCAATAACTAAATACAAAAGGTTGCAGTCAGATTGAAAATGTTGATTGAGCATAGTTGCTCTATATGTAGTATAAAAATATATATTTGCACAACATATTTGATTTGAACCCTTGGAATCTTTGACGGTTTTGACAGTTTGTGGATTTGTCTTTTTGTTTTTGTTTTTTTTCAAAGGAAGAACATGTATTCCGGAGTAGAGGCGCCTCAGATGAACGGTGACACTCCCCATGATGCGGGACATGGAGGGGGAGGAGGACACCAGGTCGGAGAGGAGCTTCAGCGCACTAGAAAGTAATTAGGATTTCACTTCCTTATAGGAAAGGCTGTAAAAGTTCTGTCTAAATAAGCATTTCTGTTTTTGTTTTAAAAAACAAAACAAACAAAAAAACATAGTAGTTTATCACTGCCATGATCTTTATACTATTAGGTGGCACTGATTTCCATTATAAAGCTGATTTAAGGCAGTTCATGAAATGAAGCAGTGATGCACCTACTAATTCGAATGGTTCTGTCTTAAAGGTTTTGTGGAGGTCTTTTTCTGGATATCAAGCGGAAGCTGCCATTTTTTGCCAGTGACTTCTATGACGCACTACATATCCAGTCTCTGTCCACCATCTTGTTCATCTATCTGGGCACCGTCACCAATGCGATCACGTTTGGAGGCTTACTTGGTGACGCCACAGACAACATGCAGGTAAACCTCCCCGGTTTTATTGTGGTATTTGGTTTTACTTTTCTGTGGAGATATTGTGGGAAAGCTCCATACTGCTGTTGTAGACAGCTGACTAGACAAAACAGGTCTTCTGTTAACCTTGAACCGTCTTGTTTTGTGGTACAACTGCTGACAAAGTTACGCGGTGTGGTTCAATATTACATGTCCCATAATGCAACTAGATAGATATCATAGTTATTTTTTTTTTTTAACTTTAAAAAGCTTCCTCCAGAGCTACAGAAGATAATATAGAATTGATTTCACTGAGTGGTCATAAATGTTCCCGTTTGAGACCAAAAATACAATGTACTAAATTAAAATGTAGCAGCTTTATAGCATGTTGTTTCATTATTTCCAGATCGATTCTGATTAATGATAGATGCTAAATAGGCTGTGTTTTGCTCTCTGACTCTGAGCATTTATTTTGGTCTCAGTGTGAAAGGAACTAGATTAAATATCTGATAAGTACTGGTAAATTGGCTCTAATGCTATGTCCGTGCATAGCTACCGTTTACCTAATGTTTCAGTATGAACAACTGTGTAGCATGTCTCTATATTTATTAATTTCCTCTTTTTTATTTTTTTCACTCACATTACTTTTTTTTTTTTTTATGTAACCAAAATCAGAATATGATGTTTGAAATTGTCACTTCTATCATAGCTCTCTGTGTTAAGTCACAAACTAATGAACAACAAAAAGAGTTCACTTCAGCTCATAAGCCATGCTAATTTGGAGCTCAAAGGCTCATACTGCATCCATCTGTTGTACCTGCTGTTGACAGGACACCATGTGGAAGAGTTCATACAATTGTGTTATAGTAGCATACATTTCTGCAGCCATCCTGGTGCCCCTGACAGCTCAGTGTATATGGTTGTCCAGTCACTACATTACTTGGCTTTGGCTTCTTTCCTGGCAAAGAGCTGCATCCTAACAGACCTGCAGAGCACCAGCCTCAGGGATTTGCCCAGGCTGTAAATAACCACAGATCCAGATTACTCAGCCACTGTAGCCTCGTCATGGCTGTGTTTTGAGTGACGCCTCCTGCCCCGTTCCCCACCCTTATCCACTCTGAGTGCAGCGGAGGGAATCCCTGCACTCACCTGACCTTTCTCATTGCACGTCTCAGAATTACAGCCCAGTTGTCAATTACTTATCTATCTACTGTATGTATGTAGCATTAAGCTTGTAAAATACACAGTCTGAACAATTGGCATGACTGGAAATTACACAGGCCTGTCCTGAAAGGCCTGCTTTGCAGCTGTGTGATGTGTACAGGGAAAACAAAGCTTCCAGCTGAATAAGCAGAATTATAATATTGTTTCGAGGCTCAGAAATGGTTGTGGAAATATATTATAAAATATTCCTTCATACTGATGAAAGAATGTGTCTCTTAAACAATTTCTTCTCGAGGTCATGATGCTCAACATATGAATGCCTCTTCGCCTCTGTATATTTTCTAAGGCCTAACATGCTCCATGAGCTGTGTGTAAAGTCTGTATGTGTTTTTTTTCCATGTTGCAGGGAGTGTTGGAAAGTTTCCTGGGTACGGCACTGACAGGCACAGTGTTCTGCCTGCTGGCTGGTCAGCCCCTGACTATTCTCAGCAGCACAGGCCCGGTGCTTGTCTTTGAAAGACTCCTCTTCAACTTCAGCAAGTGAGTATAGTTACTGATCTAACTCCAATTTAGTAGTATTAGCGAGGGTGAAACAGAGTTCAAAAACGGTAGGCAGTAGCCTGGGAGATATTTATAGATTTGTTGTCAATGCCCAAAGGACTGATGTTGTTTGTGTGTTAACAGAACTGCTATCCTTGTGCCTCCTATAAATAAATGCACAAGGAATACAGATAATTCACATTTACAGTAGGCTGGCAACTTTGCTTAAAGGTTTGTTTATTTTAACAGTATCTGACAGGAACCTTTTGTGCTTCCCGTAAATCTCTTGGCAGGTACACTTGCCAGCTGAATGTTAATTTCCCATGTGTTTTTGTTGTCAGCCTCACGTCCTGATTGATTAAGGAACGAGACCAATGCCACATCCTTGTATAGAACCAGATGTAGTTGTGTATTGAAGTGCATTCAACAAAGGACGAGAAAATGCATTCTATGACATTTTGAAATGCACATCCATTTAAGTATTTATCCATCAATACGCACAGTCCACCTGTTTGCCTCTGGGAAAGTGGTTATTGTGCAGATTTAACATGTCATTTCACAACACCTGATAGTTATTAAAGGTTGTTCTCTCTCCTCCTTCCACTGTACTCCTTTCCTCTCCCAGAGAGAGTCTTCTAGCATTACCAAACACCAAGCTGATTATGTTCCATTATTAATTATTCACTCTCATTTAATTTTACAGTGTGAGTGAAGAATGTGGTCGCGTCTGTGTTCTCCAAATGTTTCCATGCCTCAAGTCAACGGTTTGCCGAGTCAGTGGCAACTGTTGGGGTGTCTACAGCTGTTGTATACGTGCATGTTTTCCATATAGAGCAAAGCCCTGCCGTGTTTCACAGCTTCAGAATTAATATTGTTTTGTTTTGAAGGGCTCCACAGCATAACTAATATTTACAAAGCATTAAAACTTCATGGAGTTCAGGTTAGACAGGAGTGTGAAAGTACATTGTGAATTCTTGGAGGGATTATAATTGCTTTAAAAAATAATATATGGAGGTTTAGGAATACACACAATGCACACAACTCACCTCCGTGCCAAATCCGTCCTCCTCCCCAGAGACAACGGGTTTGACTACCTAGAGTTCCGGCTGTGGATCGGCCTGTGGTCAGCTATATTCTGTCTGGTGCTGGTCGCCACAGATGCCAGCTTCCTGGTGCAGTACTTCACGCGTTTCACCGAGGAAGGCTTCTCTGCGCTCATCAGCTTCATCTTCATCTATGATGCGTTCAAAAAGATGATAAAGCTGGGCCACTACAACCCGATCAACTCGGATTACGATTCCAATCTCGTCACTCAGTACGAGTGCCATTGCATGCCGGGTAGGTAGTCTTCACCTTTGCTGCAGACGATTCGGAGAAATCACATAAAGATAGATGATGTGTGGTTTCACTGTATCCAGTAACATAGGCAGTGTCTGATATCACCACTCTACCATCTATTGCCTTAAAACTCCTCATTGTTTATTGTTTATGGGGCGCCATCAGTATCTCAATATCACCAGTGATACCAGACAGTGAAAGTTGAACAGTCGTATTTGGTATTGTCCCATTTGGCAGTGATATTACCATTGTATGTTAAACAAAGCTTTCAACTTACTTTTGACGTGTTTACAGTGGAGATAACAAATGATACTAATATGTCGGCCTGGAGATACCACTGTTTACCTTCTCAACAGCCCTATCGGTTTCTCTGTGTGTGAGTGACATGGCAGGATTGTTAAGGACAGAAATGTTGACACAGATCAAAAGTGGCAAGTGTGATACTGAAAAGTAATAAAAGTATTTTGGTGATTAGATATCATTGTTTCTCTTTACAGGCAACTCATCAGAACTCATTGATGTCTCTGCCTGGACAAACAGTACAGATCTGGTATGTAGTGTCCTTGTTTTTGTGACATTTAGTAGCACAGATTCAGAATTTAAAAACTGTAGTGTAATTTGTTGTTTTTCACCAAATATTGTTTACGATTGCTTAAATGAATCTCTTTGTCCTTGTCTCTCCAGCCAGCAAACGCCACCTGGGCGTCCCTAACCAGGAAGCAGTGTCTGAAGTACGGAGGGAAGCTGGTCGGAGAGACATGTGGCTTTGTGCCTGACATCACCCTGATGTCCTTCATCCTGTTCTTTGGGACTTACACCTGCTCCATGGCTCTGAAGCAGTTCAAGACAAGTCGCTTCTTCCCCACCACAGTGAGTGTTAGCACCCATCAATGGTGTGTTTTTTCCATTTTCCTACGCTAATGCCAGAAGCCGTAAGCATCAAGTAAAACTGCTACTGTAACATTACTGATGTTTGTGGTTTTCACCAAACCATTAACTGGCAAATCTCAGTTTAATCACCAAGGTCAAGTGTCAATAAGAGTCTTTGTGGGGAGGTCAGAGTCACCACAGTTATTGGGGAACTGGAATGTCTGAACCAAATGTCAACCAATTCCATTCTTTTGCTTTTAAATAGTTTGCTTTGTCTCTTTCGTCAGCCTCTGGTCTGGTTTAAAACCACAATTATTAACATGTATTAGTCACCAGTTGGTGAACAACTGTATTTACTTGCTACAAATGACAGATATAATTGCACTCACTGCACTTAGCTGTAGTTAAAGCTCTTAGCAAAGTAATATCCGCCAGGGTTTATCTGCAAATATGTAGTTTAACAGGGTGTAAGTCTCATAGAAAATTGTCACTGGAGCCAGTTGTTCATACTGCCACAGGCTAAAAAAAATAATAATTAAACCTTAGGTAAATGTTTCCTCTTCTAGGTGAGGAAGCTCATCAGTGACTTTGCGATCATCCTGACCATTTTTGTCTTCTGCGGCGTGGACGCCTTCGTCGGTGTGAACACTCCAAAGCTCATAGTGCCAAGTGAATTCAAGGTACATACCCCACACATGGACAAAGTTCTTTAAATAGAAAATCAATGTGCTTTCACATTACCCTGTCATTGTGTTAAGAATCATTGCACTGGATTGTTTTTAGCTGACAACAACCAGCCAGGTGAAACTACACTGATAATGATCCATGTTTCTGCTAGAAAGCTAACATTCTTTAAAATCCCAGTATAGTGCTTTCTTTGTGGTTTATAAAGTAAGTAATACACATAACCTGAAACTAAGGCACACTCAGTCTTGGAGATTGTTGAGCTCAAATGTTTCTCAGCTGGCGTTGGGGACCCCCTGTCCTTGACATAGAGGAAGGGAATGATGGGGTAGAGGAGCGGGTACCTGCCTCAAATAACAACTTGATAATAGGTGATGTGAGAACACAGAGGATCTTATAGTTGCAAGTACAGAGCTACCTTTGTTTGACCACAGGGTCTTAATTCAGTTCAATTTAAGACTCTGTTCAGTGTTAAGACTTTCTGAAAGTGTAGAGCAGCCACTTCACATCAGCTATTTTTTTCTGTTCCATTGATGTTATCTATGTCTGTATAAATAAGATGATATTTTGTCTAGCCCACAAGTCCACTGAGGGGCTGGTTTATTCCTCCATTTGGAGGAAACCCCTGGTGGGTGTACCTGGCAGCCGCACTCCCCGCTCTGCTGGTCACCATTCTGATATTTATGGACCAGCAGATCACTGCTGTGATTGTCAACAGGAAAGAGCATAAACTCAAGGTTGGTGCTCCGCCTCAATGTTTTAAAATGAATTAAACAATAAAACTAGTGAAAATAAAGGGATGTAGCCAGGATTTGGAATTGACTAGCCACCCAAAAAAGCAATATTTTCTTATTGCTGTGTTTGAAATGGTGGAGAATTTCTGGTGGGGAAAAATGTAAAATCCCTTTGTTTAATTAACTTAAAACAGTCAAATGTAATTTATGCTGTATTATATTTGTAGATAATTGTAGAATGTAAATATTAAATACAATATATTTTTAATTAAACGCCCTAATTTTAGACAATACTGAGATTGCTTAGTTAGTATAGATTTAGTATTAAGATGCATTCTTATACTGTATTTCAGTCTCTCCTTCCGTGGTTTAATTCCTGACAAACTCATTATTCTGCTCTCTTTCCTCGTGTCTCCTCTCAGAAAGGGGCAGGCTATCACTTGGATCTGTTCTGGGTAGCTATCCTCATGATTATCTGCTCTTTCATGGGCCTGCCGTGGTACGTGGCTGCCACCGTCATCTCCATCGCCCACATTGACTCTCTGAAAATGGAGACCCAGACCTCAGCCCCCGGGGAGCAGCCCAAATTCCTGGGTGTTAGGTGAGTTAACAGCTGCTGGACACAGTGTTGACATCAGAATTAAATTGTTTCTTACATGACAGTCCAAAGCAAAACATTATTTTCCTTTCTTTAGTTTGGATTCCCAGATGTAAATTAATCTCTTAACAAAGTTTATGGGAGCACGGGTCGTAATGTTTCATACCAAAAGTGTACATACACATAACAGAAACAATGTAATCTAATTTTTAACCATAACTTGTCTGTTGAAAGTGAAGTTCGCTCCTTTTTTAAAGCCCCATTTTGTGTGTTTACAGCTGTTACAAATTAAGCCTGGGAACCAGAGACATTCTTATATAAAATCAAGCTTACAGTGTTATTGTAGATGCAATATTGTCTTAGGTGAATTTTATTCTATGGATTAAACTATCATTATAGAAACGTGGAACAAACTGTTTGTATTGCCGTTCATGCTGTGTGAGGCTTATTGATTCATTTTGTATTTTTCCACCAATCCAGGGAACAAAGAGTCACCGGTATCTTTGTTTTCCTCCTGACTGGACTCTCCGTCTTCATGGCCCCTATCCTCAAGGTAGTGCTCAAACTTCTAATTCTTCTGTGGAAACATGGATTACTGTCCGCCTCTTTTAGGACAAACTCCTGTCACCCCTCTTAAATTCAAAATAATTTCAAATCTTTTATTCATCCGATTAGGGACTCCCATAGTTGAAGTAATGCAATGTGAAAAAATAAGCATGTTCATCAGGGCTTAAGCTCCGATTGCAGCTGAGGTCCTTCTTGAGTTTCCATTCCCACATTAAGCTGCCAAACCAAAATGTGAAGTCAGAGAGGAGATTGTTAGAGCTGGTACTCCCTCTTGTGGACATTTTAAATACTGTCCTTCTGGTCCTGTGGATACATTTTACTTTCCAGACCAGCTTGTCATCCAGTATACTATACAGTGTACTATAGTATATTACACTATAAATATATACTGGTAAAGATGCCAAAATGATTTGTATAAATGATGAATAAGGCTGTTTTCAAATATCTTTTCATATACTTCTGGCTTGAATATTGCTTCTGTATTATGATAGCCATGGAACATTAAAGCAGTGGGGGAAAAAAATCCACTACAGTCTGCTGAGCTAGTGCAAAAATATGCCAATACTGAGCAGCAGTACCCAACCTGCACCGATGGCAGCCGAGTGACTGGGCAAACTGATGTGCCTACTAAAAGAACATTCTTAGAAAAGCTGCTTGTGGACTATTTTTAGCAGTAATACCAAAAATAAGTATTCTCATTACCTGTATGAAGAGAACTCTAAAATCCTTTAAATGTTTCATTTTTTAGAATGTATTGAACCTAAATGTTACTACAGCCAGTCACATATTGCCTTAGTAACTTTTCCTGTGCTCTGTGTCCTTCAGTTCATTCCCATGCCTGTGCTTTACGGTGTGTTCCTCTACATGGGTGTGGCATCACTCAATGGTGTCCAGGTGAGTTTGACCTGTTGATTACATTTTACTCATTACTAAATAATTACATTACTTTCAAAAAATTACATAACAGCAAACATAAGTGCAATACGTGTTACTTTACTTTTGTGTCATTACTTTATTTAGCCCAGCTTCGTCAAAGGTGCCTTTAAACTCTAAACCCTCCTCATCTATTTAACACGTGCCGAAATAGAAAAGACATTGTTGTTCAGCCTACAGTTAGGAAGTATTTACTGACTGTCAGCAGCTAATGTTGGCTTGGCCCCAGTGACGGCAGCACTCGTGTTCACACAACCTCCAGCCTCAACAGCGTAGGCTTATCATTTAAATGCAAGCAAAGCTGCTGGAGGCTAGCCAGAAGCTATACAATTATTAAGTAGAGCTACTGGTGGCTTGTTAGCAGTTAAGACAGAACATTTAAATAAGACTTTTGGTAGAGGATGAATACCTCCCACACTTAAACGGACAAAACTGATATTGAACCTCTCTTAAACTGCTGTAAATGTTCGAACTAATGGAGCTTTACTGCGTATATTAACTGTAGTTAGTACTACATTTTAAACTGCAATCCCCTACACTACAAATTTTTTGTAAAGGTAACTATGTTACTGCAAACATGTCAGCGCCTAGCACTGCATACAGCTTTAAAACAGTTTGTACTCAATTGGCCTGCAGTAACAACTAATAAACTAAAGAGATAATGAGCTCATATGACATACAAGATGTCTGCAGCATCTTGCAGATTCTACACAAACATTTGCAGCATGTCCTTTCTTTTGACCTGACTGACTTGTTTGCCCATTTGCTCGTGTCAGTTCATGGACCGCCTGCAGCTGCTCCTGATGCCAGCCAAGCACCAGCCGGACCTGATCTACCTGCGACACGTCCCCCAGAGACGCATCCACCTCTTCACCTTCATCCAGGTCCTGTGTTTGGCCCTCCTCTGGATCCTCAAGTCTACTGTGGCTGCCATCATCTTTCCTGTCATGGTGAGAAATGGCTGCAATCACCACAGCTGATCACAAACACACAGTGCTCAGTCTGGGCGTGAAAGCTAATCACACTATCTCTTTGTCTGCAGATCTTGGCACTGGTTGCTGTTCGTAAGGCGATGGACTACGTGTTCTCCCAACATGACCTCAGCTACCTGGATGATGTCATCCCAGAGAAAGACAAGAAGAAGAAAGAGGATGAGAAGAAAAAGAAAAACAAAAAAAAGGGAAGCATCGACAGTGAAATTGAATTTGTAAGTAGTTCAACCTACGTATTTGAATATCCTGTATTTGTAGATTAAGTAGGCCTGTACCAAAAATCCATTGTTATGTGATTCGTCTACAGCCTCCTGTAGATCCTTAACGTCCATTGTGTTAATGTTCTCCCTCCCTCATCCCACAGTCTGACTTCCCCTACCATGAAAATGTCCCCACTATAAAAATCTCTATGGATATGATGGAGCAGGAGCCCATGTTGGGGGATAAATCTTTGGATAGTGAGTACTAGCCAGGGTTTGCTTTGCCATAGCTTTCAAGTACTGCTTGAACTTTGCTTCTAAATGCGTCATGCTCATGTTTTCACATACTAGTCCTCCTGCATGCACTAACAAATGTAATGCTTAAAGGACCACTATGCTTTTCTGGCGACGCTTTAACACTCTAACCCGCCAGCTCAAACTCTTCTGTCAGAATTATAACCCTTTTCTTTGCTCGCGTTCTTTTCTTTTCTTTTCTGCTGGTCCGTATCTCCAGTGTTTTGTGAAGTATGTTCTTAAGTGTTTTTCTTTTCTTTTCTCGCAGGAGATAAATCCCAGAATTTCCTTAACACGCATTCGCCGTGCTGAACGCTACTTCGACTCTTCCACGGTGGCTGAGTAAGTGAGTACCAGCTGGCCTTCGCATCACAATTTTTCTGAAGTAATTGTAAACTGTGTGATTTTGAGTTCATACAACACCATATTTATATTGCTCTATCTCTTCTTCTTTCAGTCTTGACAAAAGTTCTTACACGAAAGGTTTGCCTCAGATTCGAATAGGCGGGAACTCTGAGGAGAACGGTTTCTTCTGGAGGAAGAGCTCTGAAACAGATCTGTGAATAAATTATCCAAAGATCCAGCAGAACCAGCACAACATAGCAAACAGACCCATCCTCTTTTGTACTATAGTACCGCTTTGTAGCGGTATTTTTAATATTCCTCATGTGAGGATTTAAATCAGAATGGCTGGAAGTATTTATCTTAAAATTGAAACACTTTGGTGGTACTGATTTTTATTAAGGGCTACGTTTGAGCATTCTTCATCTGCTTGGGTTCTTGCAGAAAACAAAAAGGCTACTTCAAGATCATCCGTATGCAGTTTTAATGGGACATTAATATCTTATCTTATTGATGTGTATGCTAATAATTTATAATAAGCGTCCAGCTAAAGATGTTTTATCATAAAACATGTTCAGGATAAAGTAGGTTCGGTAGATTGGAGACAACAGATTGCTTCATAGCATCCACACCAACTTTTATTTCACTTTGTACATATCAGGAGTTATTTTTAATGATTGTTTCCAAAGAACCAGCCTGTCTTCTGGTAGTACTGTTTTTATATGGTAGGTTGTTTTTCTGTTGTAGAGTTTGAGTCATGACTACTGGAATCTTAGGTTAAAACTTAGTGGAGGTACTGAATTTGGAGGCGAGCACAGGGGGATACGCATCCTCTTTAACCTGTAGTGAACAAAAGGGCTACAAAAAGTCATCTGTCATGAGCAGACATTGACTTTGTATTTATGGGCATATTCATTATTTATCAAGCACCCATCTAAGGCTGCATATTAATGAAACACATCCAGCAGATACTGTAAGAATGCCATGTGTGTCTCAGTATGGTAAGAAGTAAATGGTTCAGCGACATACAGACTTGAACTTCTCTTTTTGTTTCCTAATCTTTCCTTTTTTTCCCCCCTTTTTCTATATTTATTATATTTAAACTCTTGGCAAAATAATTCTTTCTTAAGTATGACTTTACCATTTAACTTTCCCCATTTGTCCAAATTTGAGGATATTCTTTCTGTGGTCTGTATCCACTCGATGGTCTTTTCCCTGTTTTAGGGAGATGTAGATGTATTATTATACCTGTTTTTAGCTCTACCTCTTATTTTCCTGTAGGTGCCAGGCATTATATTTTAAAAAAACATCTGTCGTGCAATTCTTTGAGATCAAACACTGATTTATTTTTTTCAACTGGCACTGCATAGGATCTCTGAATCTTAACTTGGACTTCCTTTTTTCTCTGTGACACTTAAGATATTGTATTTTTGTTTTTTCTTGTTTGTCAATATGAAATAACTATGTACGATTTTGCAGTGTTTTAAAGGGTAATTCCATCAAAATTATATTTTACTTTTTAACAGCAAAAAAAAAAAATGTTTTTAACTATCTCTACAGATACAGGGAAAATAAACCTAAAATTGCATTATCTGATAAGAACATCAGTAAAACATTTTTTTTTTTATGTTTCGTATACCAAAGTCGGAGGAAAAAGTTACAGCCTGTCCTTTTTTACCATCTGAACCAATGCAGTTTAATGTTCTCACACAGTTAACTGTGAACTCAACCCTAAAAACCTATTTGAGTTGATTTTCCTTTTAAAATGTGATCCTATTTAAAAGCTGTTAATGTGATAAAATGTCCATCTTTTTTTTTTTTTTTT